TGACTCCAGACCCACGGCAATGTGGTTGACTCTTAACTGCCCTCTGGGTAGTTAGGGAGGGGCAATAAATGTTGCCTAGCCAGCGATGCCCTCATCCCATGAATGAATAAAGGGAAAAAAAGCACTATCTTTGTGCCATCTTCAAACTTAGTAATAATGTCCTTAGTTCCTTCATCCAGATTGATTGATTTATTGTCACGTGTTGTTACAAAATACAGTATTGTATAGTGTCGCCACTCTCTGGCACCATCTTAAAACACAGAAAAATAAACAAAAACTTAGAAAATAAAGGCAGAAAAAATAAAGACATAAAGTTCAATTCTATAGTCCTTATTAAGTTGAAAGATCATTAATTTAATTTTGTTAATGTATAACGATGTATAGTGAATAGTTGTCCCAACACTGACACCTGTGAAACTCCACTCGTCACCGACTACCATCCTAAAAAAGACCCCTTTAGCCCTATTCCCTGCATTTTGCCAGTCAGCCAATCCCCTATCCATGCCATTACATTTCCCCTAATACCATAGGCTCTTATTTTATTTAGCAGCCTCCTGTGCAGTACTTTATCAAAGGCCTTCTGGAAATCTAAATAGATCTCGTCCACTGGCTCTTTGTCTAACTTGCTTGTTACCTCCTCAAAGAAGCCTAACAGATTTGTCAGGCATAACCTCCCCTTGATGAAGCCATACTGACTCAGCCCTATTTTACTATGCACTTCCAAGTACTCTGCAATTTCATCCTTAATACTGGACTCTAAAATCTTACCAATGACCAAGGTCAAGCTAACTAGCCTAAAATTTCCTGTCTTTTATCTCCCTCCTTCTTAAACCAGGGTATTACGCTAGTCATATTCCAGTTTTCTGGGACCCTCCCTGACTCCAGTGATTCCTCAAAGATTACCACCAATGCCTCCAAAATCTCCTTACCTATCTCCTTCAGAACTCTGTAGTCCATCTGGTCTGGGTGATTTATCCACCTTCAGACCTTTCAGCTTCCCCAGTACCTTCTCATTGGTTCAGAGATAGTAGGAACTGCAGATGCTGGAGAATCTGAGATAATCAGGTGTAGAGCTGGATGAACACAGCAGGCCAAGCAGCATCAGAGGAGCCGGAAAGCTGACGTTTCGGGCCTGGACCCTTCTTCAGGACTCTTCTGAGTTCATCCAGCTCTACACCTTGTTATCTCACCTTCTCCTTGGTGATGGCGACTGCACCCACCTCTGCCCCTGACTCTCTCGAAGTTCTGATATGCTGCTTGTGTCTTCACCTGTGAAAACAGATGCAAAGTACCTATTCAGTTCTTCCACCTTTTCTTTGTTCCCCATTACTACTTCTCCAGCCTCATTTCCCAGTGGTCCTATGTCCATTCTTGCATCTCTCTTACCTCTTGTATAGCTAAAAACAACTCTTGCAATCTTCTTTTATATTACTCGCTAGCTTACCCTCCTATTTCACCATCTCCCCCTTATTACATTTTTAGTAATCCACTGCCAGTTTTTAAAGACTTCCCATTCCTCTGACTTCCCATTGTTTGCTTTTTTTTGTAGCTTTTATGCTGTCCCTGTCTTCCCTTGTCAGCCATGGTTGCCTCATCCTCCCTATAGTATGTTTCTTCTTCCTTGGGATGAATTTCTGCTGTGCCTCCCGAATTACCCACAGAAACTCCTGCCATTGCTGCTCCACTGTCTTGCTCAGCTTCCCTTCCAATCAACTCTGGCCAGCTCCTCCCTCATGTCTTTGTAGTTTCCTTTTGCTCAATTGTAATCCCATTACATCTGATTCCAACTTCTCCCTCTCAAACTGCAGAGTAGATTCTGTCATATTATGTTCATTCCCCCGAGGGGTTCCTTCAACTTATGCTCCCTAATCAAGTCTGCCTTCACCAAATCCAGAATTGCCTGTTCTCTAGTGGGCTCTGCCACAAGCTGCTCCAAAAAAACCATCTTGTAGACATTCCACAAATTTCTTGAGACCTATTACCAACCTGATTTTCTCAGCCCACCTGCATAGTGAAGACCCCACAATTCTTGTAATAGTGCCTTTCTTACATACTTTTTCTGTCTTCTGATTTATTTTCTGTCCCACATCCTGACGACTGCTAAGGGCCCTGTACAGAACTCCCATCATTCACATATAGGCTGTGGCTATCACTGGTTAGACCAGCATTTGTAGCTGTTGAGAAAGTAGGGGTGAGCTGCCTTCTTGAACTGCTGCATTCCACATGCTGTAGGTTGACCCACAATGCCCTTTGAGAGGGAATTCCAGGATTTTGACCCAGTGACACTGTACATTTCCGCTCCAAGATGGTGAGTGTCTTGAGCAGAAATTTTAGGGGGTGGTGTTCACATGCATCTGCTGTTCTTGACCTTCTAGATGGAAGTGATCATGGGTTTGGAAGGTGCTGTCTAAGGAACTTTGGTGAATTTCTGTATTGCATCTTGTAGATAGCACACACTGAGAATCAGTGATGGAGAGAGTGAATGCTACTGGATGTAGTATCAAACAAGTAGGCTACTTTGTCCTGGATGGTGTCAAGCTTTTTGAATGTTGTTGGAGGTGCATTCATTCAGGCAAGTGGGGATAGGCTTTGAGCAGTCAAGTGGTGAGTTACTCGCTGCAGGAGTCCTGACCTCTGACCTGCTCTTGTTGCCGTGGTATTTATGTGCCTTGTCCAGTTCGGTTTCTGGTCAACATCCAGGATGTTGTCTGTGGCAGATTCAGTGATGCTAATGTCATTGAATGTCATGGGTAATGGTCACGTTCCAAAAACTGCAAAGTGACGTAGACGGGTTGAAAGGACAACAAAATGGCAGATGGAGTGTAATGTGGTCGTGAACACACAAACTGGAGCATGTCTAGGCCATTCAGCCCCTCAAGCCTGCCCTTCCATTCAATAAGATCATGACTGCTCTGCCCCAGGCCTCAACTCTTCTTTAGTTCCAGTCAGCATAGCAGTCAACTCACTGATGTATCCTCAATCTGTCCATCTCTTTAAATAATTTCAAGATCTGTGCACAGTACTCCAGACCTTAATATTTCAGTCTGCAACTGTCTGCTTGGTGGAGGACCATTCGTACAGTCATAGAGTTGTACAGCACAGAAACAGACCCTTTGGTCTGACTCATCCATGCCGACCAGCTTTCTTAAGTTAATCTAGTCCCATATCCCCTAAACACTTTCTATTCATATACTCATTCAGATGGCCTTTAAGTATTGACACTGTACCAGCCTCCATCATCTCCTCTGGCAACTCATTTCATACACACACCGCCCACTGTCTGAAAAAGTTGCCCTTCAGGTCCCTTTTAAATCTTTCCCCTCTCACCTTAAACCTATGCCGTCTAGTTTTAGACTCCTCTACCCTGGAGGAAAAGATCTTGTCTATTCGCCCTATCCATTCCCCCCATGATTTTAGAAACTTCTATAAGGTCACCCCTCAGCCTCCGATGCTCCAGGGAAAATAGCCCCAGCCTATTCAGCCTCTCCCTATAGCTCAAACCCTCCAACCCTGTCTTCATTCTTATAAATCTTTTCTGACCCCTTACAAGTTTCACAACATCTTTCCTATAGCAGGGAGACCAGAATTGTGTGCAGTATTCTAACAGTAGCCTAACCAATGTCCTGGACAGCTGTAACATGACATCTCAACTCCTATACTCTATGACTATTAAAGGTAAGTGTACCAAACACTTTCTTCACTACCCTGTCTACCTGTGACTCCACTTTCAAGGAACTATGAACCTGCATCCCAAGATCTCTTTGTTCAGCAACACTCCTTGGACTGTAAGATCAGCACGTTTTGGCAGACCAAAGAGCATATTTTACTGAGTTGGTGGTCTTTCCGGCACATTTGATGCATGTTTTCGTGCGGTTCCCAGATACAGCAGAACAGATGGTCTGCACCTGCTGCTATTTATTGTGGAATCTTGAACTTCCACTCCTACTGCTCTGTTGCACAGTAATTGTGACCTCTAGCACTTGCCCTAACCTGATTCACAGTCCTTCAGGTCTCCTTCACGGTGATCTGAAACTGCCTCATACTCCTTCCAATATTTTTGTATTTTTCTTGTTTCTACAGTAGTTGAATCTTGAGCCTTCGTTTTTCTTTACACAGCAACTGGCTGTGAAAGAAATATTTCTGTCCAATAAACTGTGGCTGAAGCAGATTCTTGATTTGTTTTTTTCAAGTGAGTTGGCTGTCTGAGAAATGTTCCTGCAATAGGGAAAAGCTCAGGCACAATGCTTGATGGGCACAGTGAGGCGTTTGTTGTTGGAAAGTTGGGATTGGTGGCCTCCTGTGATCAGACTGTCCTCCCTCCATCACCACCCCCAGGGAGACAGGACCCCTCCACCACTCAGCCTGGGAGACATCCTACCACGTTTTCCAGCACCTCCTGGAAGATACCCCCAACCGTGGGGAAACACACACATCACCACCTGCACTTTGTGCTGGGGTGGCACAGTGGTTAGCATCGCTGCCTCACAGCAGCTGGGACACTGGTTTGATCCCAGCCTCAGGCGCGGCTCTGCATGGAGTTTGCACATTCTCCCTGTGTCTGTGTGGATAGCTCCGGTTTCTCCCCACAGTCCAAAGATGTGCAGGTTAGGTGGATTGGCCATGCTGAATTGCCCATAGTGTCCAGGGATGTGTACCCTAGGTAGGTGAGCCATGGGAAAAGCAGGGCTACAGGTTGGGAGCAAATTACTGCAAATGCTGGAATCTGTACTGAAAACAAAAACAGCTGGAGATCACAGTAGGTCAGGCAGCTATGGAACTCTGATAAAGACTCATTTAGACTCGAAATGTTAGCTCGCTCTCTGTATGGATGCTGCCTGACCCGCCGGGAACCCTAGCATTTTTTTTGTTGGTTTACAGGGACTGGGTCTGGGTGGGATGCCTTTCGGAGTTCAAAGTGGACTCGATGGGCCGAATGGCCTGCTCCTGTACTGTAGGGATTCCATAACAACGGGGGGAGGCGCTAGAGAGCAGCGTGGGACGTGGGAGGCGGCACAGAGAGAAAGAGAGTGAAGACAGAGACCGTGAGTGTGAGGGAGGGAAGGAGAGGGCCCGGGCCCGCCGTCTCCTCCTCCCGCGGGATGTCGGTGGTCTTCGTGCCGCAGAGACTGCGGGGGAAATGCGAGATTAACCAGGCGACCATCCAGAAGGTGGGCCCGG